GTGCCTGCACCTCTGAGATCTTCACCATCTTGGCATCTTCCCCCCCACCCCGCTTTGCTGTTGTGGCTTTAAAATGGTGGATTGTGTTTGCTTTGACTATTTGGGTGTCTGTGACATTGTGAGTGAGCATTGGGGCTGAGGTGGTTAAAAACGAGACTAATTGGAGCGAAAAGAGACCGCGTTGGGGGCGAGAGAGCTGCGCTGAGCCGAGGCTGGAGCGAAAACTTGCAGATGGCAGAGGCATGTGCACTCTCTGGGGGAAGAACCAGCTAAACTGGGGGTTTCACTGTCCCCCCTGCCGTGACTGTGGGGCTGCTGTAACACCCCCACCGCGGTGAGGGTCAGCTCCTTGCTCTGCCATGGGTGATGGAAATGAACGCATTATTTGGCACAGCCGACAACTACAAGGGGCCCGTTGTGCTGGCACCTTCTCTTCTTGTGGCTGATCCCATGGCTCTGCCCCATCCCAGCGGATTGCTGTCCAATTCCCCCATCTGGGGAGCCCATGGGTCACAGTGAACAGGCTGAGCTTCCTCTGTCCTGCTCTGCTGCCCTTCTCTCGTCCCTGCAGCCCCCAGAGCAGCGCTGGGACAAGCCTGGCCTGTCTCCCTGCGCCACTTCCACCAGGGAACATTGGGGACATTGCCCAGCTGGGCTTTGGCAGAGCTCAGGGAACATCCCTCTCCAGCCTGGCAGGACACGGACACTGCTGGCAGCCCTCTCCCGAGGAGAAGACATTTTCATGAAAGAAACACCGTCTGCTGGAGGAAGAGGATGAGAGCTCATCTCACCTCATTTATATTTTAGCTCAGGCTACGGCAGCAGCCTCCAGAGGTAGATGAAAGAGGAAATCCCAGCTCACCCTTGTGGTTAGCTCGGTTTGTATTCCACCCTACAAATACCCACTGAGTGTTTAAAGCTGAGGACCTGCTCAGGTGTTTTGCTGTGATCTCCCCGTGGCACGCTTGTGCATCCCTGAGCAGTAAATGGTCCCAGGAAATCCTTACTGGGGGACCTGGGTGCCCTGCAGGCCCCATCTTTGGGATAACAGCGATAAGAGCAGAGCAGAAGCAGACCTTGTCCATCATAAATGGCTTTGGGGCCGCAACCCCGAGGTCTGGGGCTGGTTTTTAACACTCAATAAACAGCTCGTTTGCAGGAGGCAGCTCACAGAATGCAGGGTTGATCTCCCAGCAGAAAATTAACCCTGTCTGTCAGCAAGCCTCGCTCCCTGACCTGTGCTGAGCAGGTCTCGATCAAACCCTGCGAGGGACGGGGAATCCGTGGCAGGGGATCATAGCAGAGCTCTGCCAAGCCGGGGTGGATCTGTCCCAGCTTCCCAGCCACGCTCAGAGCTGCCTCCCAGCCGCTGCCATATTGACAGCAGCAGCGATGCTGAAAGCTGGGAGGGCTCCAAGGCTGCACAGAGCAGCTCTGTGTCAGCTCCAATCCTTTCTGCCTCCCTGCTCCACACTCACAGCATCCTCCCTCCATCCCTCCCTCCCTCCCCAGCTCCTTTCCACCGAGCTGCTCCTGGGCCCGGCAGCGCGTTTCCTCGGAGAACAATTATGAAATTGCAATAAAGCGCTTTAAAAGGGAAATTCTTCCCTTTGATTCCCGCCTGCCCTTCTCAGCCTGGAGCTCCCTGCTCTGCTTGTGCTGTTGGTTTTGTGTCCTACCTGCCCGGAGGAATTCGGGAGGGAGCAGGGAGCATCTGTTCTGCTGCAGCAGCCTCGGAGCCCAGGAGCCACAGGCATGGCCAGGAGCCACTTTTGTCATTGACACAGGGGACAATTTAAACAGCCACCGTGCTCCTGAGCTGAGCCACAGACACATCTGCAGATCTCATTTCCTGTCATGTTTTTATTTTTGGACGTATTCTTTCATTTTCAAGAGGAGTTTGACTCTATGGATGTCTCCCATCTCCTGCCCTGATGTGGAGAACGATTTGAGGTTTAAGATGAATAGATAAATCAACTCCTTTAAAACATTCTGAGCTTCATCTGTGGGTATTTCCTGATGCTACTTGAGATTTTTATTTTATTTTTTTTTAGAAGGGGGTTCAGTTTGCAGAGCTAAGATAAGTGTGTGGTTTGTTTTGTAGTTTAGCAAGTGATCTACACCAATCATAATTCCTCCCTTCCAAGGCAGTCACCTTGTGCTGGACCAAGTGTGCTTTCAGACAAGACAGCAGGGCAGCCTGGCACAGTAAGCAGAGTTACAAGTAATTTCCTTCCAGGTTTAATTGCAAACGGTGGTGGTGGAGAACAGCAATCTCTGGAGAGCGATTAATTAATTACTAATCCGAATTCCCTTGGGGCTGGGCCCGTATCGGTGCCACTCTGGATTCTGGATAAATTTTGAGTGACAAAAATGACATTTTATTCCTTTCAGGAGCCCAGCAAAAGCCCAAAGCCCCCCTGGGTTACAGCAGGTTTGTGGCTGAGCCTAAGGCAGGCTTTGCAGCTCACCTGAATTCCCAGAGCCAGGACTCCTGTGGGAAGCACAGCCTCCTGTGATTGGCATTTTGCAGCCGCAGGACCTGCACAAAATCCCACAATGGTTTGGATTGGAAAGAACCTTAAAGCTCATCGAGTTCCAACCTCCTGCCGTGGGCAGGGGCACCTTCCTGTGGTTGCTGAGCATCCTCTGGAAGGTTCTCAAGAGGAAGCAGGGTCTGATGAAAACACACCAGGGAGTGACTTCACCGCTGGGGATGAAGCTGCTCAGCACCACAGCAAAGTGAAGAAGTGCTTTCCTTGGCAGGAGGGAAAATCCTCTTGGACAAACAGGTTGTGAAAGCTTGAGCGAGGCCCTCAGAGCATGGCACCAGCCAGGAGAGAGGCTGCCAAAGACACAAGAAAAATCTCCAAGTAAAAACAACAGGAGCTGGTGGAGCTTTTTTATCTGGATGAGTTTTTTTTTGGATAAAAACCATCTGATCGATGATCGATGGTCGATGGTAATGATCGATGGTCAAGACACCTGGAATAGGCAAGGAAGCATTGAAGACAAAAAAGGACCCAGGAGAGGGAAATTCATGTGTAGGGAAGAGGCTGGCAGATTCCCTTCTGCCCTTCCACAGGGACAGCCAACTCTCCCAACGCTGCACGTGTCCACTGCTTGTGTGTTTGCTGCTGCCACGTTAGGAGGAAATTGCTTTAGAGTCATTTTTGGAGAGATTTAAATTTTTGGATGAGATTCAAGCCTAATATCAAAATGAGTTATTTTATTAAAAGCATTTAAATAAAACCTGAAGAGTGGTCAGAAGCAGGAGGGCTGTTTTAGAAGGAATTTGCTATAAACCTACTGCACAGAAGCTTTCTAAAATATTACCCTGCAAAAACCCCGTAATTCTCTTTATCTGCAATTTAATTACATTGCCTGTAGTGCCTGTGTCAGAGCAGTTCACTTTTTCTTGTTCTCTATTAACTCACACCTGCCCCAGGAAACTAGAAGGAAAAATTGTTGGCATCCAGAGCCGTTTGTGTGTTATGGAGGATCTCACTGAACTCACCAAAAGGGTCTAATGAGGTACTGGAAAAATAGGAATTGGGGGTCTCCTACTGGCTGTGAGGTGGCAATATCTAAAGCTGGTGTAAAAGCAGAGGGAGAAGTGCTCCCATGATCCAGGGATTTGTCCCATCCAGTGTTTGTGGACCAGAGTTTGATCTGTTTGGGACTGCAGTAAAGTCCCAGAGGATCTGAATAAAGGAGCAGAATCGTCCAGAGCTGTGTGGATTGAACATTTTAGTGACCTCCTCCAGCCCACAAGGCGTGTGTGAGCGAGAGCTGAGGGATGTCCTGGGACTGTTACGAAAATCTTGTCACTTGTGACCCCCTGCAGTGCCCACAGGGAACCTGGGGGCATGGAAGTAATGCATTAAACCAAAAATGACAAGTTACAAGTTAAATTTGGCTTGGGTTTTGGGGCAAGGGCTGCAGCTGACTGTTATTTAACTTGGACAAACCAGCCTGTGGTGACAGAGGATGAACCTCAACCTTTGACTGTGGTTTAGAGGAGATTTCGCTGGCCACGGCATTTTTGCACTGCTTGTCTTCTGATAGCTGGAGATGTGATTAATCCCAGCCAGGATGACCTGGGCTTTGGCAGGGGAGGATGAGAACAAGGCAAACATTTCCATGCCACGCCAGGCTGGGAAGGAGGGGGTCCAAGCTGCTGGAGAGCCGGGGTCTTTGCTGCAGTGCTGCTAATCCCTGTGTTTTTCTAGGAGGTTTGCAGGGCTCTGCCTCCCCCCAGGAATGGTGTCTGGTGATAATGTGCTATCTCCAGGCATGTTTCCTGCTTATAGCACCAGGATGCCAGGGCCAGCAGCGTTTTAGCAGAGAGGAAGGTGACTACAAGTTTCCAGGGAAAAGGCAATGACTTGTTAAACTGCAGAGGACTTTTTTGATTATTACAATTGTGGTTTTTTGTTTGTTTGTTTGTTTTAGTCAATCAGTTTTGTCAGGATGAAAAAAAGCGATGGAGATCCCCCAGCTTGAGCTCTCAGTGAGCTTGTGACCCCCCATCAGTGCCTGTGTTGTCACTGCTGGCTGTGCTGGGGGGCTGTGGGTGCCATGGGTGAGGTTTTTACCGTCACCCTGGTGCCCTGGGCATCCCAAACATGCTCTCTGGAACATGGAGGTGGGTGCAGGAGAAAAAAAGGGGGATTGGAGCCCACACATTGAGCTGAGGGCACCGAGGCAGCTTGCAGGGAGGCACAACCCCAGACGGGATCTGCCACACCGCTGGCTGGATTCTCGCCGTGCCCAGCAATAAGATCCTCCTTTGCTTTGTGCCAAAACCTCCCTCGGCCCTGCTGACACCGGGGCTCTTTGATGAAACTCTCCCATCCCTCCTGTCTGTGGCAACCCCTGGAGACGATCTGAGAGCAGCAACCTTCCCCAAAGCTCCGGGGAGCCTCTGAGAGCGAGGCGGGCGGGTGCTTTATTCGCAGGCATCCCCCCCTCCCCGCCCCCAGATGCTCCCCGGCAGCCTTTGGCATCCTCCGCCCGTGCGCCGCGGTCCCCCGTGCCCTCGGGGGGAGAAGCTGGGCTTCTGCTGCCAGGTGGGTGAGGCGGGGATGCTCTGGGATGCTCTGGGATGCGCTGGGATGCGCTGGGATGAGCTGGGATGAGTTGGGATGCGCTGGGATGCGCTGGGATGAGCTGGGATGAGCTGGGATGCGCTGGGATGCGCTGGGATGCGCTGGGATGAGCTGGGATGCTCTGGGATGCTCTGGGATGTGCTGGGATGCGCTGGGATGCGCTGGGATGCTCTGGGATGCACTGGGATGCGCTGGGATGCGCTGGGATGCGCTGGGATGTGCTGGGATGCGCTGGGATGAGCTGGGATGAGCTGGGATGCGCTGGGATGCGCTGGGATGAGCTGGGATGCGCTGGGATGCGCTGGGATGCGCTGGGCTCCTGAGCAGAGCCGGCGCTGAGCGCTCGGAGCCGGCTGCGCAGCCAGGCTGGGGCTGATGCCAGAGAGGCTCTGAGCTGCTGCTGCTGCTGCTGCCGCTGCCCGGGGAGAGCTGGGGAGGGGAGGGGAGCCGAGGTGTGACTGTCACCCCGAGCAGGGGGCTGTCTCTGAAGGAGCCCGCTCTGCTCTCTCCCCAGAGCCTCTCTGACCGCGCTGTCGGCACAGAAACACCGGCAGAGAGGACGGGTCAAAGGCAGTGAGTATCTTTTTCTCGGTGTCTGTCTGTCTGCAGTGCCTCTGTGCTCGGCTTTCTCTGCGTGTGAATGGATGGTTTTAATCTCGTGAAGCCCCTGAGAGATCTCACGGTTTGCTGTTCCGTTTATTTGTTCGCTTGGTTTTTAACCTTTGTGCTGCTGTTTTTCTCTGGTATTGGGATGGCTTCTTTATCTTTGGTCAGGTGCTTTGATAACCTGAACGTCCTAATCACACCCCTCCTTTGCTGTCTCTCAAGGAGAAACCCCCAAAACACATCCATGACGAGGCTGGTAATTCTCCTTGAGAGGGTTCCTTCCACAGGAGGGGGAGGCAGGACGAAGAAGGACGGAGCAGAGGAGGCAAAACCCCTCTCCCAGACCTTCATTGCAATTTACCAACCACCACAGATCACATTTTAATGTCACGGCTGCCTGGATTTATTTGCAAACAGAGGGAACATCCGTGGCTATGGCAGCCGTGGGATGGCTGGTCCCAGCACCCCTGGAGTCGGACAGACTTTGGGATCTCAGGGAAGTTGGGTGCTGCTCAGAGGAGCAGGTGGTTGCTGTGGGGGCTGAGTGGGTGGGAGTGGGGGCGAGCAGAAGGCTCTTTCATAACAGCACCCCAAAATTCAGGCTGCTGGAGGAGACTGCAGGGGAGAGGGCAGATGGCTCCGCTTCCAGCTCGGAGCAGCGGTGGGAAGGAGAAGCAGGAGCTGCTGGACTCTAGGAAGTCATGTGCTGCGGCCCCACATGCGGGTGAGGCTGTTAATGAGGAAATTTAAAGGGGCTTAAGGAATTACAGGGATTGATTTCAGTCAGAGCACAGCGAAGCAGCCCGTCGGGGTGAGGATTAAGGAAATGCACTCACTGGCAGTGCGGCGCAATCCCGCTTCCATTAATTTAGTGGGGAAGAGGCTTTGTGCGTTTTTAATGTAATCAGGTTTTAAGAGGGATGTTGCGTTGGGCAGCCCAAGCTCGGGGGTCTCCCCAGCCCCAGCAGAGCAGGGTCCTGACTCCTTGCACGCCCTCTCAGCTCTCATCAGCTCCTTGGGCTCCTCCTGGGTTGTTCCCAGTGACAACATGACATGGAGGGTACCTGGAGCTTGGCAAATCAGAAACCTCTGCTCGTTGTAGAGCCCTGTTCTCTGTCCCCTGGCTCTCCTGCCTGGTGGATCTCACCTTCACTCTCTGTTGCTGTGAGAGTTGTCAACCAGCTGCTCCCTGGCAAGGCTCACGAGGACCCTGCCATCTCCAATCTCCTTCCCTCCTTCCCTCCTTCCCTCCTTCCCTCCTTCCCTCCCCTTTTTCATCCTGTGCATCTCCTCGGTGCCTCCCCACAGCTCCCACCACCCCAAACGAGGCCTTGCTTGCTTGGAGTTATTTTTGTGTGGGTGCTTGAGCCTGTGCAGGTGAGAGGAGCGGTGCCTGCAGATGCGTGAAGTCCTCCTGTTCTGTTTGCAGTGCCAGCTTTTCCATGATGCCTGGCCAGTCACATCAGCCATGACCCGGAGGGACAGGCACAAGAGGTAGTTTGGTCTTCTTAGCGAGCTCAGCCCGGAGCTCTGCCCCCTGAGGAGAGACCTCTGGATGTGTTGAAGGATGAGTGGGATAATTCCAACTCCTGCTGCTCCCTGGTGAGCTGGGACACCAAACTCGAACCGCTTTAGACCTGAAGTTGGACTTTACCTGCAGTCCTGGTCTTGGAAGGAAATGCTGTCTCTCCTCTGTGACCACCCCTCAACTCTCAACGTCTTCCACTGAACAATTGACTTTCCACGCTACGAGGCAAGGATCAAATGGGTTGAGGACAACTGGCCCTTCTTGGCTTTGGCAAAGAGGATTCTTTGGTGCATTTTTAAGTGCCAGGACATGAAACAGTAAATCCCTTCTTCCTGCGCTCCTGCCTCCTGCAAGCCAGCCCCGACTGCGGTCCAAGCCAGCCAGTTAAAGGGTTAACCATAGCTGGATGCCTGAATGGCTGCCTTACTGATCCCACGGAGGTAACTGGAAAGACACAGTGCATCCCTCACCCCTGCCCATCCTGTCACTGTCTACCTCGTCCAGCAAGCCCTTCTGCTCACTGCAGGGTCCCCTCTTCCTTCCTGCCCTCCCCTTGCCTCTCCACCTCCTGCAAAATTTCTTTTCCCCCCCTCTCTCTGTCCTGTGTCCTGTCTTGGAAGTCCTGGCTGAGAGAAATGTGTTCCACGAGGAGCAGCTCCCTGCTCTGCCCCCCACCCGCTCTCATTCCCTGCTGCCCTCCCTGGATCTCAGGCGTCACGGGGGAACCTGAGCAGCGCTGCCAGAGCAGGGAGCAGAAAGGTGGGGGGTAGGAGGCATCTGGACAGGTACCAGCAGGATCCTGTAGCGGCCTTGGTGTCCCCTGGAGCACATCTGGGAACGTGACACTCCCTGTGCTCCCACCTGGAGCTTGTGGAGCATCCCAGGCCCACGGCTGTGGGGCCGTAGTTGGAGGCTGTGCAACAATTCCTGTGACTGAGGAGTTCCTGGCTTTTGTGCCTGGTAAATGCTGCGAGCTGCCTCTGCTGCACCAGGGAGACACTCGGTGCATTTAATTAACATTTAATTTGCTTTAAGATTACATTAAAATGTGCAATAATAGAAGCTCTCCGAAGGGCGGGAGGAGAAGGGGGAAACAGGCGCTCTACAGATTGGCTCAGGCGCTGGTGCTGAAGTGTTCTGCAAGAATTACAGATGGAAGGGGGGAAAAAATGCTGTACTTCTGCAGCCACAGAAAGTCCTCGGCATCTGTTTGGCAGCAGGGCTTGGAGAAGGGCTTTCAGCAGCTCCAAAGTAGGTCCAGCAGCTGAGAAGTGGAGAGTGGGTCGCTAAATGCTCCTCCCATGGTCTGGAGGAGAGAATGGCCCAGTTGGACATCCAGGGAATCTCAGAGAGGAGATTGCCCAGGGCTGGAGAGGCAGATCACAGAGCCTGTGCAAAGGCATGAAGCAGCCCCTGGATGTTTTTGGGGAGAGGGTGGTGCCAGTCCCGTGCAATGCATGTGTGTGTTCCATTCCCCCGTGCCTCGGTGTCCCTGCCCATCCCGGCTTATGTAATGAAGGATGCTGCGGCTGCTGTCCCGGGAAGGGGCTGGCCAAGGACACCAGGGGCTGGCACAGGACAGAAGGCTCTGGGGCTGGGCTGAAATTTAGAGGAAAAAAAGCAATAAAGCCATTTTCTGCCTGGGTAAGCGTGTCAGGAAACAGGCAGTTTGATCCTGCTTATGTAATCCTGAGTCTAAAGAGGCCGCTTGGGATCGATCCTGGCCGGGAACTCACGGTGCTGCAGCACAGCCTCACCTTGCAGGTGCCTTACTACCCCTCTCCTTCCTCCAGCCCTCTCCTGCCCTCCACCTCTGGTATTTGTGTTTCTGGTGCTGCTGGACTGATTTCTTGTGCTGCTGCCCATTGCTCTCCTCCCACACCCGAGCAGAGCAGGACTTTCCAAGGAACCATCCCAAAGCACAGCAGCCTTTCAAAGCCTTTCTGCCAGCCAAGGCAGCTGAATGCTTGGTGTGAGTGAGCCTTCAGCTGCTCTGCTGCTGTGCTCACCCTTAACACCTGCCTGGAGATGTCTCAGGGTCCCTCTCACTCAGGAGGGAACCAAGGACACAGATCTGCAACAGAGCCACTGAGGTTTTGTTTTGTTTTGTTTTGTTTTGTTTTGGGTTTGTTCTTTTTCTTTTGCCAAGCTGGCTAGACTTATAATCATCCTCTTCTTTGGTTTTCCCCTGCTAACACCCCTGCTTCCCCACCTTGACCACAGGAACAGAGGGATGAGGACTCGCCTGGGCTGCCTGTCTCACAAATCAGACTCATATAATGATTTCACAGCTATTCTTCCGGACAAGCCCAACCGGGCTTTGAAGTGAGTATAGCTGCAGCATCCCACCCCAACCTCACTCCTGCCCTTCCCCTCCCCACCCAGCACCCTTCCCTCCGGTATTGTCTTCATTTTGTTGTAATTTGTACGAGCTGTGGCCGCTTCCACGAGGAAAACAAAGCGGCACTGAGCCAGCAGGAGCAGCCTCAGGAAATACCTGGATCTCTGACACCAGCTCTGCCGTGGGACAGGACATGCTCACAGTCCCCACTGCTGCGTGTGGGACATGTCTGCACCTAGCTGGGGATGTAATTTACACCTCTGTCATCACAAATCGAAGCCTGAGCAGTTGGCTTGGTGTAAGTGGTGACCAGAAAGTTCAGATCATCTTCAGCTCAGCCTGGTATTTAACACTGCCAAAATTCGGGTGATGGTTTGCACAATGCTTGAGGGAGATGCTTCAAACCCTCCAGAGTCCTGATTTGAGAGGTGTGGGATGGGATTCATCTGATCTCGAGTCTCTGCTTGCACCTGAGCTAAGATCTGTCCTTCCCCTGAAAGCCAAGCGAGAGAAACAAACACTTCTGCAGGGCTGAGTTTCATTTCGCCTGACTTTTGGCTTTTACAATGTAAATGTCTGCATCTGCGCTTGTTCCCTGGGCCTCTGCTTAGAGTCAATGAGGAAAAATTGGTCCCTTTTTTGGGCACGATTCATCTGCCCTATCTTACCTGCCCGCCTGGGGATGTGAGATGAGCAGAGATGAGTCCCTGCAGGTCCCTTGGTATCTCCTCACTGATTCTAAAGGAAGCCCAGGGTTACTTGGCTCAGTTCTACTCTGTAGAGCTCCAAAATCAGGTGAGGATAATTCCAGCCTTCCTCGGTGTCCTCATCAAACAACTCCAGAGGGCGTGAGCAGCCGTGGGTTGTCCGTAACTTGCCCCTTCCTTTCCTTACAGAAGACTGTCAACAGAAGAAGCGACGAGATGGGCAGAATCTTTTGATGTCCTTTTGTCCCATAAATGTGAGTAGAGATCAAATTCTACCTTTTTTTCCCCCTCCTCTGCCCTTAACCCCTGTCCAGGGACATGGTCCCTCAGAGCTGCTCACTCCCCAGCGGTCACCATCCTTTACAGGCAGGAAAAAAAAAAGAGTTTTGTGTGTTCCCTTCACGTCTTTGCTCCTGACCACAAGGAAAACCCTAAAGCCATCAGCCCAAGGTGCTGCCTTTTCCAGCTCAGTGCCCTTGACCAGCTTTCCCTGTCACAGAGGAATCACCCCCTGAGCAGAGCCTGACTTGCAATTATCACAGCAAACCCCAAAATTTCACATCCAGAGTCCTTATGCCAACCTATAACCAGCACCTCCCCACTCTGTTCAATCCTAGAAGTTCTGTTCAGCAAATATTGCTCTGCTTCACCAGCGTTTTCACACTGAGAAATTACAAACAATGCAAAGTTCCCAGTATGGGTTCATTCATGGGCTTCTACTGGAGAACAAAACCCAAACGAGTCGAGGCTGGGGAAAAGTCAACGTGGGTGCTGAGCTGTTTTATGGCAATAAGGAGATGTCTGGTTTGCTTAAAGGCTCAGGTTTTCCTCACATTTCAAAATGTAAGTGTAGAATTATATTATTAAGCAAAGGGTAATTTAGCTGGGTTTCTACTGAGATGACAGCAGTTTTGGCAGGGAATTAAGTGACAACTTTAAACAGGCTGGCTGACCAAGGCAGGAAAACCAGGATGTAATTTTAGCAGCAGTATCTAGTTGAGATCATTGCTCTTGCAGCCAATAGGGGAAAAAAAATATATGGTGTAGCTGGGTATGGCTAAAAAGGAACATTTCTTTTGTGGAAATTCAGAGCAAGAAGGGGAAAATGCACCAAGGAGATTGCAGGGTACCTGGGGGATGGAGAGAGGGGAGGGCAGGATATTCACACCCCTGTTATCATCCAGAACTCAAACCCATTTCTTCCTCACTGGTGTAAAAGCAGAAATTTTCTTTATTAGACTGCAGAAGAATCTCTTGGATTACAAACCCCAGTGAATTTACCCACCTATGTCCTGATGTCATACAAATTCTTCTCTCTTCAGCTGGCTACTGCAAAAATGCTAAATCAAACCTTAGTTCAATTATTTCGTCCAGCAGCCTCCACAAGGGTGTCTGGTTTTATTAATAAATTAGCCTTAGAGAGTGATAAATGAATTATCAAGATCTTTCCCATCTCTTAGAATGGAAAGTAATTCTGATAACTCTCTGGCACTAATGAAAAATATTCAGTTTCTAATGAAAAATATTCAGTTCCTAATAGCAACAGAAGGTGATCTTTAAAATTTAAATTAATCTTTTTTTATCGGCAGTCACGGTGACATTGCCTGGTGATTGGTGACAAAAAAAAAATAATTGTTGTTTAATAAACTACTTTCTAAAGGAATATTTTATAACTGCTCTGCACCTGAAGTTTCTGGAATTGCCAGCCTGGCAGTCAAGGGTTATAATGATGCAAATACAAGAAGTTCTTTTGAGACAGAATTGTTATTTTAGTTACACTGGTTTAAAGGAGAGAAGAGCACGTACTCATGGAATTAATTCTATTGTACGAGTTGCATTTTTGCTGTTAGGGATGTGCTGATGTTAGACAGGCAAGGGAGCCTTATGCCTTAACTGGCCAAAATCTGGGAGTAAATAAAGCTGTGCCTGGCCTGCTGGCATCTGTCTGTAGGGAAGCTGCCAGCAAAAATTCTGCTTTTAGTGCCAAGAGCAGGACAGAAATGTCCCAGTTGAATTTCCCTGTGGCTGCCCAGGTGAACAGCATTAGCCAGGGAAAATCAGAATTCATGCCTGGGGGCGTGGGCTTGGGGAGAATTCTCCCCAGCTGACAGCATCAGCAGGTAGAGCACTTCTGCTTGACACTTGTCTTCACTAGATGGACAGTTCATTTCTTTTGGAAAGGGGATTGTGACTTTGGGGGGGTGTTCTGCTGCAGTCAGATGGTTTTGGTCCCTTCCAGCCAAGCTGTTCTCCAGGGAAAGCAAACCCCAAAGTGCTGGAGCAGGATTCAGGAATAGGGTGGAGCAGCTGAGAGCGGGGCAGACCTTGTGGGCAATATTGCAAGGGCTTGGACAAGTGGCAAAATTGCTCCAAGGAACAAGGATGGGGATCAGAGCACCCTGAGAGGATCTCCAAAGTGCCCAGCTGAGCAGGCTGCCCTCGAGCACAGAGGAGGCTCAAAGGGCTCCAGTACTTCCAAGTGAAATGGGAAAACCACTTCTTCCCCTTCGTATTCTCATGATTCTCCAAAAGGTTTCTAGGTGGAAGTGACCTGAGGAGGTGTCATGGGTTACACAGGTTCCATGGAGAGCCTCGTTGTGCCAGGCTGGCTGGGGGTTTGAGCCACCTGCTCTAGTGAGGACCGTCCCTGCCCATGGCACAGGGGTTGGAATGGGATGATTTTTAAGGTCCCTCCCAGCCCAAATCATTCTATGATCACCTTTACCTTCAAGTGTGATGGCCCTGTGGATCTCCCCCTGATCTCCCCTCACCTTTCTGATGAATGAATGACTGTGCAGGTCATGTTTGATGAGAGGAGGACTGAAATCCCTCGGGATTTGAAACGATTTTGTTTATGAGTGACCCTCTGCATAGAGTGGTCTGGTTTGGATTCATTCCCTGAGCCACTCAAAGGATAATTTAACTGTTAACTGTTAACAAGAGATTGTGAGAAGGAAATGCAGGAGGGCTCTCCCCACCTGGCTTTTGTGCTGGCCCTGGGACCCAATTCCCTCATCCCTCCTGGAGTGAGCAGTGCTGAGCAGCAGGATTCAGCAGCTCTGGATGGATAGGTCAGTGCAATGATATCCTAATTGTTTTTGCTAATGGGTGAAGCAAATCAGCTCAGAACCCCCCGGGGTCAGGCAGACAATCCCTCTTTTACATCAGGAGCCCTGAGCTCACTGCCAGACACCTTCCCTGGGGTCAGGGCTTCTGAGCAAGCAACAGGAGAGGGGAGCCTGATGCTGCTCTTGTCAGGGAATTGAGAGAGTAAGAGGCAGATTGTGTGCAGCCTTCCCCTGGGTGCCCAGGGAGAAAAAACAGTGTTTTTAACACGCTGGATTTTGGCATCTTTTCCCATTTTGTGCCGGGGAAGCGAGCTCAGCACAGCCCCCAGAGCGTGAGAGCATGCCTGTGAGTAACTGAGGAGTAATCCCCTCGCTGTGCCCGTGCCCAGGAGGCACAGGCTGGCCAGCCAGATGAGGATTTCTTTTGACAGGCTGCTGGAGGGAAATACAAGCAGCAGCATGTCTCATTCTGTGTCCCTCACGGGGCTGACACATGGCTTTTCCTTCATCCAGCACCCAGCAGGACAGTCTGTCCTCAACCCTTGGCCACTTCTCAACAGAGCACCCAGCACCAAAACCCTTCCTGCTGAATTTTTGGGTGATTTTTCTAGAGATTTTTTTGAAATCTGGAGGACAGGGTGATTTTTCTCCAGATTTTTTGTGATCTCTGTGCTCTTCCGCCCAAACTTTATTGTTGTTCTCCTCCTTCTGTTGTCTACACATTCCTTCACTTCCTACACAGCACAGGAATATCCCAACCTACTCCCAGCTCTTTCTAAGCCAGAACAGCATTAGCATTGTGCTGGTGACAGGCAGCTGAGATTAAGGGAAGCACAGCTCAGCAGCAGCGAGAGCACCTTCGTGTTCTGTGCAGAGCTATTTTGACTTTGTCCCTCCAGCCCTGGACCCAACACGTTCCACAGAGCCAATCCATCCATCCACCAGCCATGGGGACTCCACCTTTACTCCCTGCATGAAGTCTGCTTGCTGAGGGGGTGAAACACATGCATTAAATAAATGATTGTTGGTTGCTTTCTTGCTCAGGCTTGGTTATCAAACTGCCCGGATGATTTAGGCCACTAATCTGGGCTCTTCCTCATGCTGATGAAGCTTAGTTGAGACCTGCCTTGTGTTTTCTGCTCCCCACTTCAGTCTCTTCTTGCTGGAAAGGATCCACTTTCCATCTCCTGAACGGGATTTTGGGAGTCCCTGTGCTCACAGGGTTGTTGAACTGCCTGGCACTGCCCACTCATAAAGCACAAATCCCTGTCATTCACAGGTGACCTGCAGGATCCTGAGCAACGTCTGAGCACTTGCACAACCCCTCCTGCATGTTCCTCAGTCAGTCTGAACGGAGAGCAGGGCATTTTGAAGTTTATATTTACCCTGCCAAAGTCAAATAGCAAATGCCTGCTGCTTCTCCCTCAGACTGAGCTCAGGGTTCAGTAAAGAGCTCTGCTCCTTTGCCTTCAATTTATCTGCTCCATCAGCATCGATTTCCTCCTTTGGCTTCAAGCAAAGGACTCTCGAGTCAAATTCCTGAGTAACTGTCCAGCAGATGTCCTGTTGTACACCAGCACATCTTGTCCTCCTGAGTGGAGGGCTTTTGGGCCCCAGGTTAGGGATTATCTAGTGCTGCTGCCTCTGCAGACTTCTAATCCTGCTTTTAATTTCTGTGCTTTCTCAGCAAAGCATCCCTTTGGAATGGCACGCTGGGAGATTTCAGGAGGTGAAATCTCCTTCCTGCCCATATCACGCTGCGCTCCAGTGGTGGCTGCCCTGGGAAAAAAGACATCCAGTTGGGTGGGATGAGCTTAGAAATGCTCATCATTCATGAGTGACCATTCCTTGAAAGCCTTCATGTGCTGTGAAGGAGGGCAGGAGACTGAATATCAATATCCAGGTCAGATTCCAGCTCAGGTGGTGGCAGTTCCCACGCCTGATTGTCCTCCTGCCCTTTCCATCAGACTTGTCATTGTTCCATGACAAACTTTTGGCAGAGATTCCCCAGACCTGGCTGGCAGGCACAGCTGGAAAGGCTGGCAGGCACTCAAGGGCTAAAGATGAAAACTCTGGAAATCCAGGCAGTCAGGGATGACCTCTCCTGCATCCAAAGTGTCCCGTGCAAGGTTCAGCCTCACCACTTGCAGCTCCTCGAAGGCTGTCAGGACTGCATGACAGGAGGGTATAAAAAAAAAGCAGAGAACAGCCAGACACTATTATTTATCCCTTCACTGTCTAAACTTATTTCAGGATAAAAAAGAGCTGATTGACATTAGAGCAGGAGGCAGAGCTCATGGAAACCTCCTGGTCCCAGGGGAACCTGCTGCAGCTGCTCTCTGGGGCAGGGCTGTAGCAAACACCTTTCTCTCTTTGTCACTCATGACATTCCCTTCTTTTAGCAGATATTATATTTTTTCAGGCATTCTATTTTTCAGGTATTATATTTTCTGGGCATTATATTTTCTGGGTATTATATTTTCCAGATATTGTATTTCTCAGGCATTTTATTCCTCAGGCAGCATATTTTTTCAGATATAATATTTTTTTCAGGTATTTTATTTTTCAGGTATTTCAAATTTTTTCAGGTATCATATTTTTTCAGATATTATATTCTGCATCAGCCACCTTTTGCAGATGTGGCACTTCCTTGCAACACTGCTGTTCCTGCAAGGGATCACTCTGTCAGTGCTGTGGATCTGGGGCTGTTGTAGAGGAAAAGGGGAAAAAAAAAATAGATCAGGGCAGAATCAGGGGAGCAAGACCTCAGCAGGGACACAGCAGAGACATGGCAATGTGCTTGGGTGCTGGAATATTTCATGTCAAGCATCCTAGGTGCTTGATGATTTATAAAATGACGTAGATCTTGAGTAACTGGAACTTTCTCCCTGATTTATTTCTTTCTTTCTGAGAGCTGTCAGCCTGCAAAGACTCCTTGCCCTGTTCTCCAGTCCTTCCCTTGCTCTCACACAGGTCCTGGGAATTTTAGAGGCACTAAGAGGGACACAGGTTTTGGAAAATGTTTCTGTGTCCCAGATTTCAGCAAGGGCAGCAGCTCTACAACCTTCACCACATTTATCTACCCACGGAGATGCTCAAAGCAGCCACGGGCAGGGTAATCCTGGCAGGTGCCCTGCTCCTTTGGCAATCTGCTCTGCAGGCTTCTCCAGGGCTGAATATTGCTGTCACAATATTGCCCCAGGCTTGGACCCACAATTTGCAGTGTTACTTGGACAAGAGGCCCGGTTCTGTCTATCCTAGCAGCGCAAAAACCCCGATCTCCTCCTAAAATTGCTCGATTGGAGAAGTGTCAGGACGAGCTGGAATAATGCAGCTATTTCTGGGGCTGACAGCAGGAGGGAGCATGGCTGAGATGGGATGGATCCATTTTTATTGCTGATAGCAGACTGCTGATGGAGCAGTCAGTGCAAAAAAACAAAACCCTAATGAAGGAGCTTTGAGGAGCGCAGAGCAGAGAGGTTTGGCCTCTAATTTGGGCTTGTCTGCCCTAATATCTCTTCTGCCTTTCCCTCTGAGGATCTTGGCAGTCAGACATCTCCTCTGACTGACACACAGACAGAAATAGGATTGTTTGTTGCTGTTCAGTACCCAGGGCCACTGCTTAGGGCTCGAGGCTTCAGCAGGAGCTGGAAAATATCTCCATGTCCTAAGTTATTACCAGAAACAAGGGAAGCAGGAGGAAGTTTAGGACATGCAAGGGAGATGCAGGGCAGTGTTACATTGCTATAAACCTGTAGCACACATGGCATAAAGATATATACAGCAAATAGATAGCATATAAATAGCATATCTATTATATATAGCATATATATGTGTGCATACATGCATATCTATATATAGCCAGATACACATATATATCTATATACAGATATATCTATATCCATATATATCTATATACAGATAGCATATACAGCATATAAACTGGAACTGGAGAAAATGTTAGGATTATCCACAGGGATCTGGACAGGCCTCAGAAATGAGCCCGTGGAAGTCTCATGAGTTTTAATAAGACCAAATGTAAAGTGCTGCACCTGGATTGTCCCAAATATCAATCCAGGCTGGGGGATGAACAGATCAAGAGCAGCAGAAGGACTGGAGGATGGAGAGGCTGGACATGCCCTGTCCTTGCTCTCTTCATCCTTCCCAGGAGTCTGACCTCACCAGGCTCGTCCCAAATTCCATCAATATTTTTAGACAGTTGCTTGGAAGTAGCCAGTGCTGACTCAAGAGCTTTCCTGTCATGAACTACAAAAACCTGCACCCTATTGCAAAAGACCAGGAAGAGTTAAAAACACATTACTGGGAAAAAAAGGAAAAAAAAAAAAAACCAGAGAGAGAAGCTAAATTTATCCCGAGGAGAAAGGGTATGTGTGAAACCTTCAGCTACTTCAACGCCGCTGGTGTCGCTCAGGGAAAAGAAATAAAAAACAATGGCTGTGTCCATAAATAGGCCCAGGCAGGGCTTTAAGAGGACACAGATTGCCTAATAAATCTTTCCATATTTCTAATCTGCCCCAGCTGACTCAGATTGCGTTACTGAAATGTCACAATTGCTGAGCATTAGCGAGTGATAAGCACACTTTTACCACTGACTAGACAAGCCGTAATTAGGCCGAGTCCTTTCCCTCTCCCCTTTATTGGAGCTGTAACAGACTCTCCCAGAGCTTTCCTCTGTTTAAATAGGAACTAAAAATGGCAGAAGGCAATAAAGCAAAATGACAGAAAACATAGGCCTCAAGTCCACAGCAGCCGTGTTTTATTAAAGGTTTTTTTTAGCGACACAAAGTGTTGCATTAACACGAGCTGAAGCTTGATAATTCCACGAGTAACGTTCCCAAGGGTGAGGGTCCCGGTCCTTTTAGCTGGAAAACGCTTTGGAAAAGTTACATCAGGTGATGTTTGGCTTGGTGGGCAGCTCACGGGAGCCTGGCTGATCAGTAAATTACGGGCGCGTGCCGGGATCGCGGAATTTGGGAGAAAAATCAAGCGGCCTTTGCTAGGCCGGGGGTGGATGGAAGGATGTCCGTGAAAGCAGCAGCTCCCCGTGTCTCTCCTGCAGATGGGCTGGCAGCTTTCCGTGCTTTCCTGAAGACGGAGTTCAGCGAGGAGAACCTGGAGTTCTGGCTGGCCTGCGAGGACTTCAAGAAGACGCGCTCGGCGGCCAAGCTGGCCTCCAAGGCCCAGCGCATCTTCGAGGAGTTCATCGACGTGCAGGCCCCTCGGGAGGTGGGTATGGAGCACCCCTCAGCACCCCAGCTGGGTGCTCTCCCTCTCCTTTCCCCTCTCAGGGAGTGGCTGAGGAAGGTGGCAGTGCCACCCCTCAGTCACAGCCCGCCGTGACTCATCGCTGCTGAGGGCAAGGGCTTTGGTGACATTAAATTAGTCACAGCCAGGGGCTTCACTGGCAACCTCAGCCTACATTTCCTAACCTCACCCAGCTCTCCCCAGGAGCAATTTCACCCTGCTGCTCTCATTTACCATCAACCCTCGAGCAGGCTGTTGGGCTCTTTCCTCGCAGGACACTTTGCACAGGACCAACCCACCCACGAGTAACTTGTTGGCTCCCAAGGGAGGAGAGTTTCTCTGCTGAGTAATTCCCCCCTCACCCAGACCTCCAGAGAGGTGCTGAACAAAAAAATGAACTCTGAGCTGAACAAAAAAAAAAAAAAAAAAAAATGCAGGCTCAACAACACTGAGCCTGGCATTGTTAAATCCTTTAAATCGCTTATTTAATATAAATATTGGATATTAATTTTAAAATTAATATCTTAATTAATATTTTATATTTAAAATATTTATTTAAATATGTACAATTTAAATCACTTGACAGGATGATGGTGCTGTCAGATCCTGCACTGGGTTACTGCAATCTTACTGCACCCAGCCCCTCCTGCTCCACCTCATGGGTGCCTGTCGGGGACTCCAAAATGGGCTCATTTCCCTCCCTGTCCCAGCTGGGAAGGCCACTGGGAAGGACCCAGATTCACACCGAGGTCCGTGGGTGTTTCCCACTGTAATTCAGGAAGCCAGATGAGATTTTAAGGACTGGAAGGCTGATTTTTGATAGGAAATGGGAATGCAGGTGGGATGGAGCCTTTCCTAAAATTTGGTCCTGTGGTGAAGTTTCCTTAGCGCTGTTACATAATTTTGGCATGCCAGGAATATGAAATTCTTAAGCAAATGCACAGAGCTAATCCATACTGCCGACATCCACGCTGAGGCAGACAGCTTTTACTTTCCAGGCTCCTTCAAGTTTGGACACTGAGTTAATAACAACAAATAACATCTTTCCAGCCATTTTTTTTTTCTTCCAGACAATAACCCTGAAATTATTTAGCTCTGCTAGGGAAGGAAAGCAGGAAAACTCCATTGGGTGGCTTTGCAAACAAGTGGCAGCCACAACATTTTAGGGTGGTTTATTTTTTTTCAAGCCTGTCCTCCAGATAATTGTAACGTGAAGCTGCTATGGGAAAAATCAAACAATTTATTTTAGATCAACAGAGTTTAGAAACATTTAATAAGAATGTACTGATGGTTTAAACCCAGTTTATTCACCCCTCTGTTGGGCATGTGGTGAAGAAAAGGGAGCAGGAGAGAGGTTAGGCTGAGTCAGCAGTTTTAGGTGATGCGCTGCCTAAGAGTCTGAATAAAAGTAATTTGATTCCAGAAGTGCTCAGATCACTATAAATCCAACTTTTCCAGCCTTGGGGCAGGACTCACATCCCTGGATCACTAAAATCCCCAGAGCTGTGGGGGCTGTTCAGGCATGGGCAAGGGTAGGACCCTGGTTCTGCTGCTGTTTCTCCATTCCCATGGAGAGGGGATGTGACATTTGGAGGAGGCCAGCTGGACACTCAGTGCCAAACTCTCTTCTGCTGCTTTCCCCAGGTGAACATAGACTTCCAGACTCGGGAGCTGACGAGAAGAAATGTGCAGGAGCCCTCCCTCTCTTGCTTTGACCAAGCTCAGGGGAAGGTGCACAGCCTGATGGAGAAAGACTCGTACCCCAGGTTCCTGAGATCCAAAATTTACACAGACCTGCTGTCTCAGACCCAGAGGAGGCTCAGCTAGAGCAGCCATGGGGCCCTCAGAAACCACAACAGCCAAAACCCATGTCTAAATGTGAAACTTTCTTGGTGTTAAAAGCAGTGGGAACGGGAAAAGAGGGAGAAGGGGCAGAGGAAGCTTCCAGAGAGTGATCCAGATGTGGTATTAAGACTCTTTGGCTTTCTGTGCTTTTGGGTTTATTTTTGGTTAGCAGTAGCACCTCGCAGTCGTTGCCTCTCTCTAGCACAAACCCAGAACCCTCTCGAGTCATCTGTGGGCAAGGCAGGTTTCCTTTAAAATTGCTGGGTTGGTTTGTGTGTAAATAACACCTTTCCATCCTCCCACACATCTCCCTGTCTCTCACCTCTCCTTTGTGCTTGGAAGGGCCCCAAGGGCAGTTCTGACACTTGTGCAGCCACATCCAGCCCACCTCTCCCAGGGGTCTGGACCCAGAGGCCGAGGGGAGGGAGAGAGGAGACAAAAGCACAGGATTTATTCCCTTTCCTGGAGTGGAAACCATCAGCAAACTCAGCTCACCTCCCCATTTTGTTTGCACACCTCATGACGTGGCTGCTACCCCGTCACCGACCCTTTTCCTTCAGGGATGGAGACTCGGAGTATTCTCCACAGGACTGTGTGAGGAGCTGAGTTTTCCTCGTGAGGAAAGTCATCCCAAAAGCTCTCACCAGGCCTGGGCAGTCAAGTCTTCTAATGTGAATGATTGTTTTTCATGGCTATTATTTATTTGTGCGGTATTGCAGTCTCAGGGTCCCAGTCGTCATTCAGGCTCTGTTGTGCTGGGCACTGGACCAAAAGCTTGCACAAAGGGGCTCCTGGTGGCTCCTCAGGAAAGACCTGGAAAGAGTGGAGAGAAGGAATGTCCCCTCTGCCCCTTGCTGAGGTGTAGGAAAAGCACAGCAGATGGCATTTTTCACTTGGTGCACGGCAAGGTGAAAAATCACATTTTTCTTATTTTATTACTGATTACTGACTGTTCCTACTTACTGCCAGTCCACTGTGGGTTCAGAACTCCCCAAGACACACACCCTGCTGCAGGGTGCTTGATTCCAGTGGGACACAGAGAGCATGGAGTGAGCAGGATGGGTGTCTGGGTGTGCAGAGGGGTGTGAGGTGCTCCTTGGCCCTATTCCCATAGCCTGGGTGGCAGGAGAAAGCTCCGTGCAGATGTCAGGGGTGTAGCACCTCCTCTGTGCTGGGCAATAATTCCTACCATCTGATGGCCCCATTTCCATGGCACTGCTGCTCCAGCTTGGCAGATTCTTGCAATATTTTTGAGGGGAGAAGCAGACAGCCTGTCTGTGGATTTGAGCCGACAGAGCAGAGGTCTGTTTTCTTAATTTAATGAAGGCCTGGAAAGTGACCCTATGGATCTTTTCCTTCTCTCAGTCATCCCCAGACCAGAGGCTGTCAAACTCTGCTCCAGCCAAGGGTGGTGGGTGGGTTTGATACATCAGAAAGCTGCTGATAAAGACTTTGCGTAACGTGGTGTAAATGAGGTAGAATGAACTCTAAAGCCAAGCACAATGTGTTTGGAACAAGATAAAAAAAAAAAGTCTGGCTGGATATTAAAAATCACTGTCCATTAATTAAGCAGGAGACAGCTTTATGAGGCTTTTTGCAAGGATGATGTGCAGGGCAGTAGGACAAACAGGTTTAGGATCAAGACAGAGGTGGTAACCACGCTGGGTTTATTCTGGAGGTGTGTTCCTGCAATCTTTATGTTCAGCAGGGAAACCTGCCTCTTTCAACGCCTGCTTGGTCAGCAGCAGAACCCTCTGTGGAAGGCAAATCCCACCTCCAGTTAAATTTCCATGAGGAATGGCCAGGAAGAGCTGCAGTGACCCAGCATTCCTGGCTGTCCTCTGCCCCTGCAAGGACCCCTGAGGACACTGTTGAGGCACAGGAGGCCCCTCATGGGACACAAGGGACAGAAAGGTCTGCCCTCGGCAGTTTGACACAAACTTTTTGCCGCTTGCTTGAAAGTGGGAGAGGTGAGAGACCCCTGGAAGATGCTCCAGATTTGCCATGATTTCTCCAAGGGCACCAGACCATGCAGGAGCTCAGTGTCCCAGAGATTTGTGGCAAGCCAGGCACAGTGGGACAGGTCTGGGGAACCTGTGCAAGGAATGGGTCACCGAAAACTGATGCCTTGGAGTGGCTGCCAAGACCACAGGCTAGACAGAGTTAAGAGGATAAAGGAGATATTTATTAAAGGCCTCTAACAGGGCAGTGCAAAAGCCTCACAAAGGCTACACCCAGCATGGACAATGGCCATGAGTTTTTCAGACAATTATAATTTTGGTCCATTTACATATCAGGGGTTAATCCTCCAGTTACAGCTTCAGGCAATGAAGTCACATTCCCCCAGTTTGCTCCCCCATAATTCACTTTTATTTATACTTTTCAGGGCCTGAGGCAATGAGGTGTCTTTGGATCACCCAAAGGGATTGTTTTGTTTAACTAAAATGTGAAGAGAGTTAACCATACTTTACATGGAGTTCAGAGCTACGCACCAGTGCAGCAGTACAGGATCTGGAAAACATAAAAGCTAAAATCTTAAAGCATCAGCCTGCGGTCCCAGTTTCACCCAGTGACCCCAGTGCTGCCAGAGGGCAGCTCAGCCTCAAACAATCAGAACAAGTGTTGCAGGTGGTGAAGGGAGGCCACCTTGTCTGGTCCTGCCTTCCTCCTTTCCACCCTCCTCTTGCCTGCACGTGCAGAAAGCATCCCAGAGCTGCCCAGGGTGCCAGAGCCAGCAGCAGGAGGCTTAAGCAGTCATGGCTTTCAAAGAGAAGGCAGAAGGCCAGACTCGTGGTACCTCTCTCCAGACAGATCTTCTGAGTGGGCTTGGGCGGTGCTGACCTCTAGTGCCAGCTGAGGCACCCCAGACAAGGCTCTGCAGCACCCTGGGGAGGGTCACAGAGACAGCCAGGCCAGGGGACACAGCAGGAACCAGATGTTTGTGTCGAGGAATGTGAGTGGGGACAACCCCCAGGCTCCCCTGGTGGCTACAAAGCCTGGTCCTGCTCAGACTCCTGTGACTCCATCTCTCCACAAGGTCCTCCAGCAGCTTCGGTGCTGCTGTCCTTTCATTTCACCTCAGAACTCACTTCAAAGTGGCCAACACCCTGTAAACCCAAGCTCCTTTCTCTCCTCCACCCACCTGGGGAATTGCCTGGAGCAGGGTACACCTGGAGATGCCATTTCTGCCTGGAATCAGGCTGGCTGGTGCAGGGGAAGTGTTTTCCCCATTAAATTGGTGCCAGGCAAGGCCCTCCATTGGGAGCAGCATCCCAGAACACAGAGGGGAGCAAAAGTATTGTCTGAGGCATGTGAGTCTGCCACGGTTATTTTTGTTGCTGCTCTTGCAGTTTATCTTTCTGGAAGGAAAGCAGACTAGTTATTTAAAGTAAAATTCTATTTTTCTTAAACAAGAAAATGGCACCAGCTGCTTCTTTTATGGAAATGCCGTTCTGAAGCGAATCAAAATAAGCAGCTTGTAGCTCTACCCCTTAAACCAGGGGCTGATCAAGGGAACAATGACTGAGCCAAAGCTTTGGAAAGAGCTGAGTGGTGACTAATCCTCACCAAGGGCAAATATCCTATCCTTGATTCATCTCTTTCTGGTGTGAAAGGGATATTCATAACCCACAAACCCATTTCCCCTCTCCACAAGCACACACCCCCAAAATTTTCCTCCTGTTAAAGTGTTAAAGTGTGCCGTCACATGAAGAGCGGGAAAAAAAATTGGTTCACTCAGTTCTTTTTATTCTGTTTGCTGGCACATATCCAGTCAGCTCCCAGGTAGTTTGATGGCAGAAGGGAAAAAGAGTTTACAAATTTCCTTTCCCTTTTCTATGAGCTTCAGGTGGTGTTAACTCCAGGATCAGACGCAGAACTCTGACCTGTCTAAAGTTTCTCCTGCTTTGGTCCATCAGCCAGGTTTGGGATGATTTCCATCACTTTTAGGGGACTCATTAATGCACCAAGGGCTCCCTGTTGTCCATGCTGGGGAGGTGTGAAGGGCAAAGTCTTGCCAGTCTAAGCAGGGGAGGGGGAAGTTGCTGTGTGTGTCTGGGGGTGTGGGTGGATGAGAGTGCATGTGACTTCATCTGTATCTTATTTAGTGTCCTCTACTAGAGAAGCTTTTCTGAGACATAGATGTGCATGTTAAAATAGGAGAATTAGGCATAAATGACATAAACTGAGATCTTTAGCCAGTGTTGTGTTTGCCTCGTGTATAAGTCCGAGTAGTAGTAAGAGACGTAAAACTCTGCTAGGCTTCCAGTTACCCCTAAGAGCACATGTATCAAACTGAACTGAATGTTCACTGATAGACACAAAACCAAAATGTTTACAGCATTCAGAGCAATAGCAAAGCATACCTCATGCCAGTCCTGGAGTGCCTCTCACCCCTCAGTGCAAGCTCTCCCCTCCCTGGGGGCCTCTGGCTTCTCCCCCCAAACTCCTCTCTCCTTCTCTGTCCCATCCTGGTTGTCTTCCCTCCTCTTCCTCCTCCTTGAAGCACTCCAAACCTTCCTGTCCACCAGCACTGTTTGTCCTCATCTGTCTGAGCCTGGGACTGCCCTAACCTCCCCCAGTTTGCCTCTCCTCCATCCCCATCCATCCCTCCTCTCCTCTTTGCCTTTCCCTTCCCCAGACACGTCTCTGGTCATGCCATCTCCCTCCCACACGCCTCCTACTGCCACTGTAAAGCACCTACGAGCTCTTCCTTGCCTGTTATATAAGAACAAAACGTTTCACATCATTTCTGCATTATCTTTCATCCCTGGGGCTGCTGCAGTTGTCTCCTTCCTTGGTGCTGTGCTCTCTCTCCGGCATCGTAGCATTATATCCCAGAACTGGAATTAAAGTTCATTTTGCTGCTAGACCAGAATGCTTCTCTCTCCCACAAATCCCTTGGGCTTTGCAGAGGCTCATCTTGTCCCCAAGTCTTTTGTCTTCCTTCTTTTTTCTCCTCTTTCCATGCACGCTGCACATGCAGTGCTTGTGGCAGGGGCTGGCTAGGGTAGAGGGCGGCCGTGCCGGGGTCACTCCCAGCTGGGCACCCCCGTGGCCCTCTGGTTTATAAAAATAGTCTCAATAAAGGTGTGTGGGTTGTATTTGCTCGTCAAAGTCAGTCATTGTGCTCTGTGCCTCCTCCTGGCTTTACAGGAGGATGTGTCTCTAATCTGGGACTGCGGTGAACTCAGCGGGAGTTCAGGGAACTGAGGCCGTGGGAGGGAGGTGGCAGAGGGGGATGAGCTTGTCACCAAAAACATCCACTATTCTTGGCAAAAAGACCCAGGAGAAAAGGCAGTGCCTGCTTCTGGAGGGACCAGGGAGCTTTGGGGACCAGCTGTGCTGTGAATTGTTTGTCTCAAGTGGCCCCACACCTCCCCAGTTTGCCTCACGTGCTGCGTGCCCCAGGCTGGCTCTGAGACATGACGAGGAGCTGCTCAGCTTTGCATTTCCAGTGTAGATAACATCCTGAGAGAAATGTCTTCATGTTGCTCTGTCAGTGCCTGCAGCCACCAGCTGGAAAGCAGTGAGGGGAAGGAGGCACCTTCTGCTGGGTTTACTCCTTGACCTCTGTGGGACTCCTGGCAAAGAAGAGAGCAGGGTACAAGCACACCCTGGGGTAGATCCCCCTTCCTTAAGAACCACAATTGAAGATCTCATCTTCTTATAACCTCTCCCCCCAACCTCTCTATGAGTTACCCAAATCAGAGCTCGGATTTGTCCTTAAGCTCCTTGGCACCTCCACCTTGTGTGCCCTTGAGGACCTGACTGCAAGCCCAAGCGCCCAGTAAGGCTGCTCAAAACAACAAAGATGTCTTGTCCCTCTGGAAATGAACTCGTGGGTGGCTCAGTGAACTCAGAAGTGAGCCACCAGGTAAATGGAGCAGCTCCAAAGTGCTTCCCTCTGCCACGTTTTTATTTCCACGAGATGCTGCTGCTGTCGCCTCGGCGGCGTCCGGGTGCTGCTGCCGTGGGGAGACACCAGCAGGAGCACTTTGGGCAGGCCACAGGCTGCTCAGTCTGACCCTTTCCCACTCAGGGGAAGGCATGGGCTGGGCTCCCCGGGTTCCTCCTGCATCAGCTGCTTGTTTGCTCCCTTCCCTGGGAGGCTGGAGGAGCTCCTCAGCCACGCCAGCAATCCCGCCGGTGTTGATACCCCAGAGTCGCATCACCACGTCGTGCAGTGTGACCCCCTGCTCTGTACAGACACCCTGAGGATGTAATAAACAGCCTGAGACTATTTGTTCTCTGCCTCAGTGTCTGAAAAGCTGAAATCCTGGGGATGGAGGGGTGTCCAAAGACAAATTGCTGTGGAGGAAGAGGAGGGGAGAAGCTGTTTCTCCTCAGCCCCTGGTTTCACTGCTGCAGACACGCTGCATGGGGCAGCAGAGTGGGCTTGTGCTGGCTCCCAGCTGTCCATGGCTCAGCTGGAGCAATGTAGAACCAGCCTCCCCAGAGGTCCAGTTTGGGGAGATGAGTCAGAAATGTGTCAGTAGGACCTGCAAGGAAGGAAAATCCCAAGAGCCTTCCAGCAGCACATCGCTGTCCTTCTCTGAGTGCAGCCCGTGA